ACTTCCAACCGGTTCGTACAGCGACGGGTGGGATTTCACGAAGTTTAGATCTTCGTACGAGAGTAAAGTCGAGTCGACCGAACAATCGCCCGGTCTGTTGTCCGGAACGTCCTCGTCCGGGATGCGTCCCCAAGGCGCCGTCGGTCGCAAGAACGGACCTCTTTCGAAGTTGTCCCTTATGTCGTCGAGGCCGAAACGGCAGATGGCCGAGGCGGGTATTTCGTGTTCCCCCGTCGTGAAAACTGCGTAGTAGAAGACCTTTCCTCCGCGGACGGTCCGCACGACGTCCTGCAGGTAGTTGAAGCGAAACGGAAATTCCCCTCGGAACGAACAGTCGAGTCGCGCCTTCAGAAAAGTCGTCCAACTTGAGTCCAGTAACGTTCTGCCTCCCTTGTCGTCGGTGCAAACGCGGGCGATTCGCGAACGGTAAATCTTCTCGCAGTTTTCTACGGAAACTTCTTGGAAGAAGAAAAACACTTCTTTTCCCTCTACAAACGAACCGACGAATTTCGGGTGATTCAGCCACAACGAATCGTGCCTCTTGGTTATGAGAGGAACGGCGTTGCCCATCGACCTCGTCAGTACGGAATCCCTGCCGTTGAAATCGGCGACCGTCCCGGCGTACAGGCTACCCTCGGCGAAGACGGACGTTACTTTTTGGTCGACGGCGAACGGACAATTGTACAGACCGTTCCTTCTCCAACCACTCTCCAAGTTCGACATCTCGGCATGAATGCACTTCGGTTTCTGAGCGTTGGTTCCGCATATCAACACTCGACCGTTCGTTAAATCCAGAGTTACGATTTTCACGTAGTTCTGGCAGTCGTGTTCTTCCTTCCCTTTCAATCTGCACTTCTTCTTGGCGACCGAGTCCGCCATCCAGTCTAACTTCGTAGCCGTCGAGTATTCTAGAGTTTGATTGAGATCGAACACGAACGCCGAGTTGTTCGCGCCCACGAACAGAGTTCGCCACTCCTTCACCACTCGCATTTCGACGATGGACGAGATGCCGACGCTCTTTGCGAAAGAGACGTCGATTTCGTTCGTCGAAGGCGATTGATCTTCGGTCGGCATAGGATACGCGACCAAAACTAACATCACTATCAGGGCGATGAAGAACAGCATGCCGATTGTATTCTACTTTCTGCGTCTCGCGTTCATATGTTAATTTCGAAGCC